AGGTTGAATCATGAAGGCCAGGGTGTGTATGTCTTTTCTCCATTGTAATTCTTTCCACTGTTTTCCCATGAAATAGAGAGCTTTCTCCCAAGTAAATTAATGATTCTCCATTTCTTTCTAGTGAAGTCCAGAGGCTTATTGGGAAATACATGTCAGAAATGGGAGCTGAAGTTTACTATCAAAAGTTCCATCCTGAAGGGAATCAATTTCACCCGCTGCACTTCTTCTCCGGTCCTGATTCATACACATTGCTTGGGAATGTGAGTTGTGCTTCTTATGGGGTCAACGTTGCTGGGATTATAAGAGCTCCTCGTGGTGACGGAAAAGAGTCTATCGTGCTGGTTACTCCCTATGATTCTACAAATGGTGGAGATTATGAGGCTTTGTCTTTGGGCATTGCCAGTTCTCTATTTTCCCTGCTCGCTAGAGTTACCTGGCTTTCGAAAGACATTATATGGCTTGTTGCTGATTCTCGCCATGGAGACTACAGACCTGTCGCTGCATGGTTAAGTGAATACCACACACCTTCATTTAAAGCCTCGGATTTGTCCAAGTGTGACGAGCTCAACACATCACACAGCTTCAGACGGGCTGGAACAATGGCTGCTGCTTTGGTTTTGAAGGTTGATGGTAGAAGTGAAAGGTTCGAGGACACACTAAGTATCTTTGCAGAGGCATCTAATGGGCAGATGCCAAATCTCGACCTCATCAATGTTGCAAACTACTTGGCGGTGCACAGGCAGGGCTTTTATGTTAAGGTGGAGAAGGTTGTATCTCTACTCTCCTCTACTTGGCTAAAGATTGTTGGGGAGTTATTTGAAGCCGTTGGGAAAATGGCTCATACGTTGAATCCCGACTGGAATTTCGGTATCCCAGCTGCAGACTATCTTGAAGGCAGTGCCACCCTTGCAAGCTCACTCTATTCTCAGGTATAGTTTTATCTGTCAGTTGATTAAATTCTTGGGGTTGCAGTCACACTGATACATTGTAATAAGGAAAAAGCTTGAAGCCTGACAGAATTTTTTTATTGATTCTCATCAGGCCCTTGGTATCCCAACTGGCCCTCATGGAGCTTTCCGCGATTATCAAGTTGATGCAATTACTTTGAAAGTTTCACCTAGATTTTCTCCTGACAATACGGCAAGGCAACACGAGTTCTTTCAGCGAGGCGCCCAGTGAGTTTTCGTCTCTATACTTGCCTTCTTTCTGCTAGTTTATGTGTTATTTTGTAATGCTAAAAGACTACGATAAATCATTGATGCAGTAGAATTTAAGAATTGCCATTTGCTTACTCTGTAGGAGTGTTCGATGATAACTCTGTGCGTTCTCTTTAAACGCAGGTTACTTGAAGGAACTATAAGATCAGTGAACAACCTCCTTGAGAAGTTCCATCAATCGTTTTTCCTCTACCTATTAACTTCCCCAGGCAAATTTATCTCTGTGGGAGTCTACATGATCGCCTTTGCTCTTCTTGTAGCCCCTCTCCCGATGGTCGCAGCCTCTTTATACATTGATGGCTGTAACGCTCTTACCAAAGCCACTCACAACCCCGCCGAAAACCTCAAGTCATGGAAATGGCTAGACGCAGCCAAACAGGTCCTTGCGTTGCACTTGTTGGGTTTCATCGTCACGCTGCTTCCTTATTTCATCTGTCAAGTACCAGGCGAACATTCTCCGACAAACCGCTCCATCATGTGGGCTACTACAATTTCTTCGGTTCTCTTAATAACCTGTGTCACAATCCCGGGTTGCTCTCCATTCTCCTCTCGCCTCCATGGAACCAACTGGGCTGTCTTGAAATCAGTGACCATCTCAGCTGCTTTCATCGGTCTATGCCTCATGTCCATAATCAATTTCGCTACCGCAGAGATTGGAGCGTTGCTACTAGTGCCAATGTGTCTGATGGTTCGTCCTATAAAACCCGATTTGAGATCCAGAAGCGTGAAGAGCTTGTTGCGTTCGTTGTGCAGCATGGTGTTGGTGACCATCGGGTTCCCGGTCATGTTTTTCGCAATCTGTAAGGGATTGATAGGAGAAGGACTCGTGGGGCTGAGCCTTGGAGGAGAGTTTTGGACATGGTTAGAGTCGCTTTGGGCATGGAAGAGTGCGACATATCTATACATAGGTATGGTTCATCTTCCCTGCTGGCTCCTTTGCCTCTGCATCTTGTTTCATCCTTCTTAATGATTTCCTTTACTTTTTGCGAAAGTTATATACACTGTTTAAATTTGTCTTATAATTGTCGCATGCTAATTACGATTAAGAGGTCTGATGTATTATCGTTGAAAGATTGAGGTCACCATGAATGAATGTAGCTTTTAAGTTTTTACTTTCCAAACATCATAAATTGTGAAAGATTAGAAAAATGCAAAGGACAAGGCAGATACTATGCTCTGAAGATATTAGTGTAAATGCGTAATTTATTACAACACGCAAACAAAGAGAGCAAAACTGAGAATATCTACGAGTTAAATTAGATGGTTTTACAAAACTACAAAGCTTCTGGTTGCAAGTAATCTATATCAGAGCGTGTTCTTTTCCCAAACCCCATCATCGAGTTACCTAAATCAAAGTCCAATACGAAGCCTTCTAATTGTAGCCCACCCATTATAATCGGGCTGACCTGACTCGACCCGCCGTCTACAACCCCCAAGCATCGAACTCCGCCACCAACGTCCACCATTAGATTCATCCCCTGAATCCTCCACCTCACCATCTCGCTCTGCAACGAATAATCCACCTCCGGAAAATCTATTTCACTGGAAGACGTACTCGTGAAGCAAAGACCGAACGGTGCTACAGCAGCCACCGAAGTAGCGTTCGTCGCAGCTCTGGTATAGGCTTCCGCGAACGCCGCGTAGATCGAGCTCTCTAGCATAGTGTATGGAACCACCGTGCTTAGTTCCGCCGCCAATGGACCTTCGACGGTGAGCTTTTTCCCGTTGACTCTGATTGATTTCACGTTAATTACGTAATTGCCGCTCGAGCCGGTTGACAGAGGCGTGTAGACAAGTGATCTAGACGCGGCCGCTCCGAAAACCTCCTCCACCGAGCTCGTTGACACGAGTCCGTTCGACGGCGACAGGTAAATGGTTAAGCGACGACGTTCGTTGGTTTCCGCGGCAAGCTGGGAAGGGAGAGAGATCTGGGCCCTTCCTAGGCCCATTACTCCTTGGGCCCCACTAGCGAGGCCTCGTAACAGCCACGGAGGAGCACAAGCGAAAAGCAGATCAACGGTTCCCGGTGAGGAAACAGATCCAAATGACAAGACGTCTCTGGCGAGCTCTCCTCTCGCCGCAATCCCGGCGGCGCCGTTTCTCACAAGCAAATCGCAACGCGCCTTTTGGTCTCCTCCACGCGATGATGCTCGGTCATTCCCAACCTTAGCCTTCAGGCAGCCGCTAGAGCTCCCGGAGATCCGACTCCGAGTCGAGGAAACATGCCCCGATGAACAATCAAACCATAGAAGTGGACCACCGAGATCCAAGACGAGCTTGACTGGCTCCGACGAGTCACCTAGACGAATCTGTGCGACGTACTGACCGGTTGGTAGGTCTCGGATAACAGGGAAAACAACTCCGTCAACGGAATCAGAGATCTGAGATTTGGAAATGAATAGAACGGAGAGTAAGGAGAAGAGGAAGAGATTCAGAGAAGAAGAAGAAGAAGCCATTAGAAGTGTGATTGAGTGAGGGTGAAGAAATGGATCTGGACAGTTTTAAAGGATTAGGTTCTGGTTTGAGACGCGGTGGGGCGACGCTGGTTTAAGATGGGGGAGAGTGAATGTGAATCGATAAGTGCTGAGTAGGACTGCGTGTCGTTTCGCGAATTGTGGGGACTTTTTCTTTTGGTCAATGTTTATCCATTTATTAAAGAAAAATGAGCCCATTTGAGGCAATTTTGGCACGTGCGAGGGTAGTTTTTAATTCGTTTTTTTTGTTTCTTTTTGGGAATATCCGTAATTGTGTAGAGTTTATGCCCAACTTATTGCCTGTTGGAGTAGTTGGTGTTCTTTCAGAATTTTCCACGTTGCGACTAATTCTTTTGAATAGACAATTGCGCGCAATGGGAGAATGTTAGATTAGGGCCATTAGGCTCATTTTATAGTTGGGCCTCATATAAAATATATACGGCGAAATGGCCCAATAGTTTGCATGGAGCTAGTGTCAACTGTCAAGGCAATCCTGTTGCTAATGTGAAACCAAAAACTTATGGTCCCTATATTCAATCAGAGTTTATTAATATTCTGGCAATTTGAAACGCATTGATCTGAAGTTTACTGTATAATACTCTCTCCGTTTCATAATAAGTGTCATTTGGAGAAAATATATATACATTGTAACTAAATATATTTAGATATGTTTTGAATTTAATACATCCAGATACACTGTAGATATATTTTCTTCAAATGACACTTATTATGAAACACTTATTATAAAACAGAGGGAGTAATTGTTATATTCCAGTTGTACTATTTGTTATTAATATCTCGATCCAGCCATCCAGCAAGAAGTATGATATATTTGTTGGTATACTAATTATCCGGTATAAGAGCTCAATAAACTGCTTTGAAAAATAAGAAGAGAATATGACGTTGACGCAGCATGTGAGTCTGTATACCTTAAGCAGCGCTAAATTTGCATCCATCACGTACCGTTAATGCTAAATGTTACGTAAGCCTACGAAGATACACCGACACTGGTCTTCTCCATTTTTAAAAAATTTAATGAATTGTTCTCACGTGTTATATTGATTATATTATGCATAATAAAGTATATTATGGGTGTAATTTAAACTCTACTAGTAAAAAAAAGGATATACAACGTGAATCTCAAACTAGACCAAAAAAAGGGAAAAAGAAATACCATCGTTACCTTTTAATTATAAAAATTGACAATACTCAAACATTTTAATTTTTCGTTTTCTCAGATCCAAAATGTGCTTTTACATCAATAAATATAAGACATCATCTACAGAGTCCATCTTCATCAAACAATCACATTTATTTCATTTACAAAAAAAATGGGTGGATTTACGCGCCTCATCGTCTTCCTTTCCATTTTTGCTTCCATAACTCTGAAATCAGAAGCCCAATACCTTCTTCCGATCACCAAACACGAACCCACCAAACAATTCTACACCGCTCTCAACATCGGATCCGCTGCGAAAACTCCCGTGAACCTCCTCCTCGATCTCGGAACCAACCTAACGTGGCTCAACTGCCGCAAACTCAAATCTTTATCATCTCTCCGCCTCGTCACTTGCCAGAGCTCCACCTGCAAATCCCTCCCCGGAAATGGCTGCGACGGAAAATCCTGTCTTTACCGTCAACCAAACCCTCTCGGCAAAAACCCCGCCGTGACCACCGGCCGTGTCGTTCAAGACAGAGCCACCATCTCCACCACAGACGGCGGAAAGTTCCTCTCCGAAGTCTCTCTCCGCCGCTTCACATTCTCCTGCGCCGGAGAGAAAAGCCTCCAGGGCTTTCCCCCTCCGGTCGCCGGAGTTCTGGGTCTTTCTCCGGGACAGTTCCCGTTCTGGAGACAGGTGACGACGGCGTTTAACATCATCCCGAAATTCGCTCTCTGCTTGCCTTCTTCCGGAACCGGTCACTTCTATATCGGCGGCGGTCAATACTACCATATCCCGCCGTTCAACGGTGGCGGAAATTCGATTCCGATGACTTTGACGCCGTTGAAAAACATAGGCTCGGGAAATTATCTAATCTCCGTTACGTCAGTCTACGTTGACGGAACCCCTTTATCGTTGAACCCAAATTTGCTTGAGGGCGGAGCCAAGCTGAGCACGGTGGTTCCTTACACCGTACTTCAAACCGATATCTACAATGCTCTTGCTCTGTCTTTTACGCGTAAAGCAACGGTATTAAAATAAATAAAAACAGAATTTTGATATAGGAGTTGGATATATTTCGAATGAAAGTGTACTAATCATGTCTCTTTATCAAACAGAAAGTAGGAATGTTCGAGGCCTCAGGACCTGCGCCATTTAAAAACTGTTTCGAAGAAGGCGCTTCGGGGAGGAACATGAGCGGGATGACGAACGTGCCGGTGATAGAGATTGGGGTGCCAGGGAGGGCAGGGGAGGTGAAGTGGAGATTTCACGGTGCAAATACGGTGGTGAGAGTGATGGAGACGGTGGTTTGTTTGGCGTTCGTCGACGGAGGAAAGAACCTCAAGGAGTCGATGGTCATTGGAACACACCAGCTTCAAGATTTTATGATCGATTTCGATTTTAGCACCACGCTTCTTGCTTTTAGTGACTCACTCTTGCTCCATAACTCTAGCTGCTCCACGTGGCCTTCCCGGAAATAGAATTAAATCACACATGAGTCTTTGACTTTTCAACTTTTAGATGACACACGTGTTCTCCACTCCAAATTTGAATAAAACAATCATCGATCTTAACAATCAACGGTATTTCATTTTAAATTTGTTGTATTCGTCTAATGTTTAGTAATTATTTTGCTCAACAATACTTCTTGTGTTCAAAACCAAATTTTCTAATCCTATGAATGAATAAACAAGATCACCCAAGAAATAAAAATTAACCACAACAATAAAAAAAAAATTATAATCCTATATGAACGGAAATCAAGTATATTTTTTATTAAGATTTGGTGTAGTAACGATTTTTTTTTTTGTGCCATATAGTCGTTATAAGAATATTTTAGAACCTCAACTCAATCTCCATATATTAGTCATTTCAAAACACATAAAAATAGTACCAAGAGGCAAGAGGAACCCACCTACCTATAAGTATCATTATATGTAACATACAACAACAACAACAAAGAACAAAACTTTTATGTCTCCTCCTCGTATAATCATCATTTGCCTCTGCGTAATATTTTTCACCCTTGCGAACACATCACAATCTCAACATGACAAGCTTCAAGCTTTTCTACAACCTATTCGTAAAGACGATGCCACAAATCTCTACTACTGTCCAATATCCATCGGCGCCACATACTATCAACGGCAACATTTCAATGCCGCCATCGATCTCGGCGGCTCTGCGCCGTTGCTGCTAACCTGCGCCGCCGCAGCCAAATCCCGTTCTTATCACCCAATCAAATGCGGCTCCTCTAGATGCAAACAAGCCAAACCAGACTCTCTCTCCTGTCCTAGCAACACCACAAAGAAGTCCACGTGTCAGAAATCCTTCTCCACTTCGTACACTGACCATCCCATCAAGGCTCGTCTCCTCAGAGAAACTGTCGCTTTGCTATACACCTACAACGGCTTCACCGTGATGGACTCCGAACTCGAATTACCGTTGACTATAGCTTGCACCGACGTTAAGGTTGACCCATCCATCAAACCGTTGCCGTCGATTGTTAATGGGACATTGGGCCTCGCCAATACACTCATGTCGCTTCCTTCTCAGGTCGTTTCTTTACACAAGCTACCATTAAAGGTGGCTCTTTGTTTGCCTTCTAGATACGGAAGTCCCTTTGATTCTGGTGCCCTTTACATTGGTGGTGGTCCTTATTACATGGCGCCTTACCCTAAAGATGTCTCTAAGATCTTTGCCTCCACGCCTCTGCTCGCTAGTGACCCGTCTCGTGGTGAGTACTTCATCGATGTGAAGTCCATCCAAATCGGTGGAAAGATTATTCCTTTCTTCAAGAAAAGCACAAAGATCTGCACTTTGGCTCCTTACACGGTCTTGCACACTTCTATATACAAGGCTCTTGTCTTAGCTTTTGCCGGAAAAGCCAAGATGGCTAAAGCTCCGGCGGTGAAGCCTTTTGGCTCGTGTTTCAGCTCCAAAGGACTTGGGATGACGATGATGGGAAGTAGCGTTCCAGTGATCGAGCTGGTGCTGAGTGGTGGGGCTAAGTGGAAGATCTACGGCTCAAATTCGCTTGTTCAGGTGAGTAAAGATGTGGTTTGTTTAGGGTTTCTAGACGGAGGTGTGGATCTGAAGATGGTGGCGATGGTGATCGGAGGTTTTCAGATGGAAGATAATTTGGTGGAGTTTGATCTCAAGGCTTCTAAGTTGTCTTTCTCTTCTTCTCTTTTGCTTCGGAACTCTTCTTGCTCACAGTCAAGACTCTTCTGATTCGTGTTTGGTTTTCCTTTTGTTCGGTTTGTGATGTTAAGATCTGCAATATGATCGTTACATTTGGATTATTTTATCTTTTCGCTTGTTTTAAAAACAGTTACATCCCCAAATTAAGTTGAACTCTGCTCTCTAGTTTAAGACTTTTGGGAGGTGTGATTCATTCCAAACATATACTATCAACGTTGATTCTTGATCTGGAGGGACTTCATAAGGCGTAAAACTTTCCACTTTAATAATAGAGTAGAATTTTTATAAATTAATATTCGATCGGTCTCAAGTCGTACCAGTATAAAAATTAACAAAATTCGATAAAATAATAAGATAATATTTTTTTAAAATTATATATAAAAATATGGTTCTAATAGTAATATAAATTAATAATTATACATTTAAATATATATTAATAATATAATATAGTAAACTATGATAATATTGTTGTTTATTTGTTTGATTTAACTTCTAAATTTATTATTATAATATTTTTTGAATAAATTTTATATTGTTGAAAATATTGATTTTGTTTTTTTATAAATATTAAAAATTCAAACTCAAAATATCTCTATAAATTAATAAAATTTAAGAGTCACAATGTTATTAATTTATAGAGGTCTTACTATAGTTATATCCACACATACAGTAGAATCTCTATAAATTAATACTCGATAAATTGATAATCATTATAAATTAATAATTTTTGTCGGTCCCAAATCGGACCAGTGTAAAAATTAGCAAATTTTGATAAAATAATAAGATAATAATTTTTTGGAACTCCTATATAAAAATATAGTCCCAATAATTAGATAAATTAATAATTATATATTTAAGCATATGTAAATAATATGATATTGTAAAATATAATTATAATATTATTTCAAGTTTATGAAAATTGTTTAACTTATTTTTCAAATTCACTGATATGATATTTTCTGAATAATTTTTATACTGTTAAAAATATTTTTTTTATTTTTTGACAAATATTTTAAATTTAAACTGAACTTTCTCTCTATAAATTGATAAAATATTAAATTCTCGATAAATTAATAGTTATTAATTTATCGATTAATTAATAACTCTATAAATTAATAAATTTTTGAAGTGTCAACATTATTAATTTATAAAGGTTTTACTGTTTCTACTCCTTCACTTTTTACGCATGTTTCTTCGTAGGCTCCAATATCGACTATAACTGACCCACATCGAATTAAATAAAAATGGGAACTACGTATGATCCGGATAAGATTGATCAGTTCTTCTTGTCACAATAACTGTCTCTGTTCTTCGATTCTATTGTGCAAAATGGGTTAACCATTGCACATATATGCATGCAGGATTTAGGATATAGATTAATTGATAGTAGCCCTGAGATTTTTGTTATGATATTTAAATATAAAATAAATCATAAAATTATGTATGTGTAAATCAATATTTTTTTTACAACACGTCAAAACTTTGGATAACTTTTCTATCTATAATTCTGCACACAAAAAATGTGTATCTTCCAAAACTTAAATCTCATACTATTTGATATAAATATACTAAAACTTTGATCATTAGACCAAAGGCTCCTACTATCTAGTGGATTTTTAAAAGATTATGGCACGTGGTCGAGAATCGAGACACCATCGTTACCATCGTATGGCTAAACACATGCTTCATGCTTGCAAGTTGCAACCACTTACCGGGGAGAATCACGTGGACTTTGTTGATTTTTGTTTCTTTTCATTTTTTAGCAATTTCATCATCATAATACAGATATAAACCAGATTTTCAGGATTCAGCGAGTGGCAAATTGACAGTAGTCAAAGATCTAAATGGGAACCACGTGAGGCAAATTTAATGTTCCAGACACACTTGTCGGTTGCATAGTTATGGAGTTCAGGGATGCTGGTCCCGTTCCCAAACATCACAGCAAAAAAAAAAAACACGAAACTCAGATGAATTCGTAGATCGAGGTTATGAGATTTCTTACTTTGATTTATACATTTCTAATTAATTTTTTTTAAGAACGATTAGAAATGTTAAATGTTCTGTTTATCCATGTCTTTGTCGGCAAGCTAATTATAGTAAGAAACAAAAACTCATCTTGTTATGAATAACAAAAAAAAAAAAAAAGTTTATAAATTGAGATATCGACCACACTCACCTCGTAGGGAAAGGAAAGAAAGATGCCTGGTGTAACGCGTCTCTTGGTCTTCCTATCCATTTTCGCCGCCGTATCTTTAAAACTAAAAGCTCAATACCTTCTTCCCATCAAGAAACACGATCCCACCAACCAATTCTACACCACCTTGAACGTCGGATCCGCCGCCAAATCACCGGTCAACCTCGTCCTCGACTTGGAAACAACCCTCTCGTGGCTCAACTGCCGCAAAATCAAATCTCTATCCACTTTCCGCCGCGTCGGCTGCAACACCCCCGTCTGCAAATCACTCTCCAATGGTCAATGCAAAGAAAACACATGTTACAACCAGCAACCTAACCCGCTCAGCCGAATCCCACTCATCGCTCGCGTAGGCCAAGACAGAGTCTCCTTCAGCAAAACCACGGTCCGCAACTTCACATTCCTCTGCGCCGGCCAGAAAGACCTCCAAGGCCTTTCTCCTCCGGCCGCCGGAGTTCTTGGTCTCTCTCCCGGATCATTGTCGTTCCCGAAGCAAGTGACCTCAGCGTTTAATGTCATCCCCAAGTTTGCTCTATGCTTGCCTTCTTCAACTCGCCCTTCAATGTTCATTCCACCGGGACCGGTTCCTACTCCAACCGGCCACTTCTACATCGGGAGTGGTCCCTACTCCATCCCGCCGTTCAGTAGTCGTCTTTCGATTCCTATGACCTTTACGCCGTTTAGGATCTCCGAATCTGGAAAGTATCTTATCAGCGTCGATGCCATCTACGTTGATGGAATCCGCTTGTCGCTGGATCGCGAATTGCTTGTCACAGGGGCCAAACTCAGCACGTTGGTGCCCTACACATTACTCCAATCTGATATCTACAATGCTCTTGCTAAATCGTTTTCACGCAAAGCAGAGGTATTAAGAGCATTTTCAATCTTTCACTATACTTTTAGAAGAAAAAATAGAAGTGTTATTTTTGTTCTCCAATCCACCTCTATTTTAGAGGAAAAAATAGAGATGCTATATTTTCCTCCAAATATAGAGGAAAAAGTAGGTATCTCTATATTTTCCTCTGAAATAGAGATATTCTTCTAAAATAGAGATAGATTGGAGAGAAATTAACTTCTATTTTAGACTTCCTCTATTTTAGAAGAAAAAATAGCAAAATGGATTGAAGATGGTCTAACTAACACAAAAATTCTTACATATTCTGTGTTATTATATGCCGAATAACACTAGAAGAAGTTTTTCATATATTTGACCTACATTATTTTTAGTTGAATAATTGTTTAATTTATTTATTTTGGTTGATAATAACACAAAAACTTCGTTTTACTTTTTCTTCTTTTTAAAAAATGTTTTTCATCGAATGCAGATTATGGGACTAATTAAGTACGCAAGCTCAGGCCCGTTCAAACACTGTTTTGAACTAGGCGGCAGCCAGAGGGAAGAGCCGGGGCTGCACCTGCCGGCGATAGAGTTTGGATTGCCGGGAAGGGTAGGGGAGGTGAAATGGAAATTTCACGCGGAGAACACGGTCGTTTTTGTGATGGAGACAGTAGTGTGTTTGGCGTTCGTCGACGGAGGAAAGAAACCAAATGACTTGATGGTGATAGGGACACATCAGCTCCAAGATTACATGGTGGAGTTGGATTTTAGCAGGACGGTTTTAGCCTTTAGTGACTCGCTCTTGCTCCACAATACTAGCTGCTCTTCTTGGCCTTCTCGCAAGTAGAATCACAACTACAAGCTGTTCGTCTTAATTGCTCGAACTTGCTTGTGAAGGTGACTTCGTGGGTAAAGATGTGGTTTGGTAAAGGTTTGTGGACGGAAGTGTGAACCTAAAGACTGCGATGGTGTTGGGAGGTTTTCAGATGGAAGATAATTTGGCGGAGTTTGATCTTAAAGCTTCAAAGTTCTTTTTCTCTTCTTCTCTTTCGCGTCACAACACTTCTTGCAATCACTCATCTAGACTTTTCTAATCTTAATCGAATCGGTTGTGTTGCCTAACTAATATAAATTTGTTGAATTGTGTTTCACTTTGCTTCGCGATTCACGTGATTTGATGTGGCACTTAGATCTATCTTTTCTTTCAAATAAGTCCATCTTTCTCTTTGGTTTTGTTTTTGTTTTGCTAGGCTTTTATCTGATTTATAAAAACATTTCCAATAATTCTAAGAAGTACTACTTTTTATGGTATCATTTATTTGTGAAAATAAATTGGGTGCTTACCTACCTCTTCTACCTAATGATTTAAGAAATAACCAATTCAGAAAATATAAAGTTACATTTATTTTCCAGACATCTGTGTCTAGTAATTTTGAAAAATAACTGTGGTTATCATTGTCGTGAACATTATTGGAAGATATGTATCTTTTTATATCTCTTTGTGCCACAATTTCTCACAAATGTTTTTTTGGTAAACATTTCTCAACAGATGTTTATCATATATTAGTGGGCATATCTATAAAGATATATATCCCTTCATTCAACATTTTTAGTAATGCTTCAAAAAGATCGAGGAAATGGACTACACTACAGCATGTGGTCCTGAGGTAATTCGGCTGAAGTGAAGAGATGGAGAAGGCTCATTTTGTTATTGTATACAAAATTAATTTGACAACGAAAGATAGATAATACATATTGACAACGGAAGATAGAAGGCTTACACCAGAAGTAACAAAACAAAATTATGCACCAGCCGGGAATCGAACCCGGGTCTGTACCGTGGCAGGGTACTATTCTACCACTAGACCACTGGTGCATTTTTGTTGTATCTCTATGTGAAAACAACATATCGCTTTAAAAGATTAAGTAAAATTAAAGCAATATTCATTTTCAGTTTACATCAGTTCCTTGGTTTTCCAAGTTTTGTTTCCTTCGTGTTTGAAATCCCAGATGAGTTTGTTTTGTTGGGATGAAGTGAAAAAAAACATGGAAGATGTAAGTTTTCTATTAGTAACGAGTCAATAAAAAGAAGATATATTAACCCCAACAAAAATAATAATCTAAGAAAGATGAGGAAGGCGTTGTGATTTTATTTGGGCCCAGTGGGCTAACGGGTTTCTAAGTTAAAACTGGTAACGTTTAGTAATATTTATGCAAATAATGTTTTAAGACCTGCTTTGGACTGGCTGGTCGGACTCGTAGATGTATTTGAACCTCTCGGGCCATTGTTTATACTAATGGGCTTAATAATATTAGGCCTTCATCTTTAACCTGAAAATATTGTCTAACATTAAAAAGCACGATGATGCCAAATAGCCCATTTTCATCTGTAGTCAATAATATATGTGATTTATTCCCTCTAGTAAATTGTAATGTAAATGCATGAATGAGAAAGTTTTGGCCCAATTTGTTTTCTTTTTTCTTTTGTAAATGTCGCCGACTAATCGTAAGTGCATATGCACAGAGAAATAGATATCTCACACAGGCAAATTAATCACGGAACAAATTTCATGAAAAATAGCCAGTCAAATTCCGATCATTGTAATTGGTAAATCAACTTGTCCATCAACTATTTATATAGTAGAGGGGAATCCTATGATTATTGTACGATGCAATTGATTGCTATTTAGAAAAATAAGACAGGGTTTAATCATACAAAAATATATAAATACTCCAATATTTATTTGTCGTAGAAATCCCAATGATTAATGAACGTAACCTAGCAACAACAAAAAAAAAGTAAAAATGAAATTATATAAACCAATAATTTCTTCTACTAATTTGCATAAATTGTATTCATTTATCAATCATATTTCATATATATGTGTGTATTCGATTTAGTCCTACATATGTATACTATTTAGGGCTTAAAATGAATGTTCTCAACAATGTAAAAATGAATTTTGATAGATTCACTTTGTGAAAAGAGTCTCTAGTAGGTCTGGGCGTAGAACGGATATCTGGAAAATTTTGAGTATTTGTGGTTTGCTCCATTTTTACCGAATATCTGATTTTGTGATTTGCTTTGCTCCGAAAAATACGGAAATACGGATATCCGAAAAATTTACAAATATTTGCAGATATTTACGGATATTTACAAATATTTATAGATATTAAATTTGTTCCATTCAATACAAGCAAAAGGTAAAAATACATGCATTTTTTAAAAAAAAAATATGAACTACCAATTAAAAATAAGTGAAATAATTATTTTTATTTCAAAAAACGGATATAACTAATAAATTATAATGATAAAAAACGAAAAACCATGTTTTTATATTCTAAATGACTACTGACTAGATGGTAAACTACTAGGCTTTTAGAATTCAACTCCAAACTACTACTACTATAACATTACAAAAAGACACATTAGGTCTGCAAAGAATAGTTTGCATTTCAGTACAAAAAAAACTCAATAACCTAACATTCCAAATGGAGAGACTGTGTACACAACTAAAATGTATCATATAATAACTTTGCCCCCCAACAATTTAAAAACGACCCATTTGATGATGTTGTGCAATCACTCACATGTTCCACTTGCTGTTCCTGTCTCTTTGTGTGTCGATGTTATATGGTGGTGTCCTTTTCATACAAAGTCATCGAGGGATTTTGTGCAATTACAGTCCTCAGATTCTCTATGATCTCTCTTTTTAAGTTAAAACATTTCGTACCAATCACTTTTTCTAACTCCTATTTACACTAACACTGTGCTTCACATGCTCAAACATTTGTTCCCACTGATTTCGCCAATGTGTTTGATTTCTCACTCTTTCTCTCTCTGTTTCGCCACAGATAATCAACATTTCTTTCTTCTGATTAATTGATTGTTTTTGGTTCGTAACGTACTTTTTCAGTAATTACCCGGGAAAGGAAATTTAAACTATTATTAGTATGAATTAGTAACAAAGAGAGAGAGAGAGAGGAGAGAGTAATAATAATGAGTGAGGCGTGGGGTGTGGTGAGGTATGGAGAAAAGTGGGCCCCACTAGCTTGAAAATCCACCGTACATGAGAAAGATTCCCATAGTAGATACGTGGGTCCCATAACTTTTCCCGAAACTGACGATCCTCACCGTTAATTTGTTTTCCCATATCGACTCTTGTAATAAAAAAAATATCTGAATTGCACCAAATAATTACTACTCAATACTCATCGGCTCGACCCAGCTCGGCTCATCGAGCGTTCGGATTTTCCGGTACGTTAGAATTTACAGCTAAAACTTTAACTCTATAAAGGATTTTGTAGCCTTTAACTTCCCTTTTTGACCGTTCATTCGCTCGCAGATATGAAGATTTTTTTGTTCGCTCTTTTTTGACAGACGTAATAAGCAAATCAAGAATCTGTTGAGTTTTATTGACCAATTTTTATTTTATTTTTAATACTAGATTATATATTAAATCATGGTATATGATAATACTCTATACGTAGATGAAATATTTTTAGCTCACTAATCGATCAATACACAGAACTTCATTTGTAGTCAACTCGAAAATATCTTTGGCTAGCTAGTAATGTAGAACCGGTGTAACTCTATATATGTATAGCTTTCATAAATTTGGATTCTGAACAGATGTTTATGGCAGATATGCATGATCGGAAGAAAAACGAGATCCCCAACGTAAAATCAGCATTTGTTTATTTGACGTGAGTGTGAGGTCATGAATCTTTGAAAGAGGAGGATCCACAAATGCAGTTATTCCTTGTTTACCATCTCCTCCTTTATATGGGAAACAGTTAGCAGTGGAAGGATCTCGAGAGTAAAACTGTTAAAATCTAGATGGTTTTGTTGAGGCTACATCTCTAAGCTTTCTTCGTGGGTTATGGTAACGTCACCTGCCATATTCCGAGTGTCCTGGAAGTTAGGGTTTTTATCAATCTCCCCGAATACGATCACGTTCATGTTCGTGATGTTCAATTTTCATGATTTGGTTGATAGTTATTGCAAAATCATCCCGTTAACATTTAATGAGACATTTTATTGAACAAGAAAACTATAATGAAACTTTTATTAAGTTACAGAATTTCACATGTAAAGAATATTAGCTACTCCTTAGAGATCGACGCTGGACCACTGATCATATAGATTGCAAATGGTATTAATTTTTAGTTTTTTTACCAAGGGCAAAACGAATGTGTAATAATATACCTTAGAAGTCAGTGAAGAATTATTCTTTGTTGAAGTACAAAGTAATTGGCAATTCTTTTAAATTCAAGGGAATAATGTTATTCCTTTCGTTCCTAAATGTATGATGTTTTAGATTTTTTACTTGTTCCATTAAGATTGATGTTTTAGAATATTAAATACATATTTTTATAGATTTCAAGAAAAGTAACTAAAATTATTTAAATCCTTAAATCACTATTAGTTAATAAGTAATGATTATAAAAAAATAATGTATTAATAACTAAAAAGTAACTCTTCCTTAATTTATGTAAACAAGCTAAAACATTATATTTTCTAGAACGGAGATAGTATTAATCAATTATAGTTGTTGGGTTTAAACTTGGGAATTAGCAAACAAAAATAACATAAAATAATTAGCGTAGGACCATAATTGAAGGGTTTTGTCGGTCATGTTTTAGGCCAATCCATCTCTTTTTATAGTTTCATAGGGCTAAGTAACAACTACTAAGTTCTCAACCATCCCTCTATAAATGTTACTTGTGTGGTTGTTACTTAGCCCTATGAAACTATAAAAAGAGATGGATTGACTTCAGTCTTTAATATATTAGCATTTACAAAAACAATTTGCTTGGGTACAAAAGCATTTACAAAACTTCAACAGCACGGAACGAAGTAGTTGGTGATCTTAGCTCTGTTTCTGTATATACACTTTTTTATAATACTGAAGTCGTGACTCGTGATTGTCGTTTGACATTATAAGCCAAACTAGGCTGAATAAAATACAAACCGACAATTTTTAACCTATATAAAATCGGAATTTGCTTATAAGTTATAACTCTGGTGTTAATGCAACATCAACCCATTTAAAACAAATTATTACAATCCAACTAAACTAACTAAATGAAGTTATGTTTTCTAACTAGATTATAATCAACATTCTTTTTTTATTTGTGATCATTTCCATAAAAAGAACAAACCGACTCTATATCAAAAACAGAGTAGAACCGAATTTTGTCGGAACCAATAGGAAATACCTTCGTCTGCAATTCAACAAAATATATTATCGAAGCTGGATAATGCAAATAATGAAAAAAACCTATTAAAAAAAGTTCTGAATGTCTACTGGTAGGCAAGCCATGAGAATTAAACGGTGAAACACACAAACGACCTCGGAAAATAAACAATCACA